ACTATTATTGAAAATTACTAACTATTTTCGTTAACTCAAATAAAACTAAAACAAACTAAAATATGAAATTAAATAGAAATATAAAAAAATACTAAAATGAAAAATAAAAATATAAAACATGCTCTGCTGCAAGCAACTTAAAATATATTTTCGTTAACTTAAATACTAAAAACTAAACTAAACTAAAATATAAAATTAAACATTTTATAGAAATCATTTAAAAAATCTAATAGATATTAAAAATGAATGAGGTAAAATGAAGTACTTAAACTAAAATTAAATAAAAAATCGGAAACTATAAGTATTAAAAAACATTTTCGCTAACTGAAATAAAACTAAAAGAAATAAAATATAAAATTAAAAATTAAATAAAAAAATATATTTTTTAAATCTAATAAAAATGACAAATATTTGTATAAAAATATGAAATATAAAAAAATAAGTCAAATTAACTACTTAAGCTAAAATAAAACCTTACTATTATTGAAAATTACTAATTATTTTCGTTAACTAAAATAAAACTAAAATAAACTAAAATATATTAAATTAAATAGAAAAACCCCTAAAAATAATAAAAGTACTTGAAAATGACAAATAAAAATATAAAACATGCTCTGCTGCAACAACTTTAAGAAACGACATGATTTGAGCATTTGCCAGGCAGTTTGAGTGTAAGCGAGCAGGCTGACTCGTGTGCACTGATGCATGCTGGGAGAAGTGTGTGTGTGACTGATGTGCACCTGAGGAGCATCTGACAGGCTTTACATGAGGTGGTGTCTTCAAAACAGTGCATCTGGAAGTCATGACCGTTAGCAGAGCTGTTCTCCGGACACATGTTTGACCTGCGTGCACACACAAACACACACACACACACACACACACACTAATCACTACTGGAATCAGACACAGTACAGAAGAACATCACATGACTTGGGCCATTGATCGACTCACAGCGCCATCTCAAACTGCTCCAGCCACTTCTTCTTCAGCTCACGCGTCTTAAAGTACAGATCGTAGCCGCCTTGCCCGTATACGTCCATCAGGAGGAACGTGTGTGTCCACTGTAGAAACACAGCGGCGTTACACACAGCCGAGGGTGAAGATCTGCTGAAACACTGCGAGACGAGACTCAAACCTTCTTGCTGTCTTTCTCTCCCGACGCTTCGTCTCTCAGCTGATAATTCTGCAGTTCAATCAGTTCCTTCAGCTCCATACTCTCCCCACTGCGCTTCTTACACACCAGCAGAGCCTTATCGAAGAGGAACGCGTACCTGAACACACACACACACACACACACAGTCAGATCCTTCAGCTCCTTATCGAAGAGGAACGCGGAATCCAGAGCCTTATCGAAGAGGAACGCGTACCTGAACACACACACACACACACACACACACACACACACACACACACACACACACACACACACACACACACACACACACACACGCACACACACGCACACACACACACACACACACACACGCACACACACACCTGTCCTGTTTGGATTTCTTCTCTGGGCTGCAGATCTTGCATTCTCCATCTATTTTGGGACGGCCGTATAACGCAAGAGACTGAGTCTGAACACAGAGAGAGGAGAGAGAGGGAGAGAGGGAGAGAGGGAGAGAGGGAGAGAGTCAGTCAGAGCTCAGAGCTGAAGGGATCGTCCTCAAGCGCTTCTGTACCATGTTCTCGATGCACAGCTGAAACGTTGTGATTTGACGGATGATCTCATTGTCTCTCTTCACCTCGTTTACACACTGAGCCAGATCCTGCACACACACACGTTACTTTTTTCAATAGAAAGTAAAAAAAATATATATCTGTTAAAAGATATATATATATCTGAGTTTTTAAGATTAAGACATTGTTTTACACAAACACACACACACACACACTCACCCTCATGGCATCCAGTGCAGTGCGTAAGTTTTCCTTGTCTTGTTGGTCCACTGTATGTTTCATAAGCTCCTGAGGGAAACATTTGTCATCAAATGTCTGAAAACATCCTCAGTAATATAGTGAAACGAGAAGCAACATGAGGACGTGTGTGTGTGTGTGTGTGTGTGTGTTACCTGCAGCAGCAGATGATACTTCAGGACTCTCTGCATGGGAACCATCAGCAGATCTCGCAGGGAAAACCTGCCGCTGTTGGCTCTCATCGAACACTCCTGACAAACACACACGCTCAATAAAACCTCTGATGCTGGTGGTCTCAGTTCTAGGAAAGGCGCTAGTATTTATATCAGACCCAAATGTGTCTGTGGTGTGTGTGTGTCTGTGGTGTGTGTGTGTGTTTCTGACCTCCAGTTTCATCTTCACATCTTCTCTGGTGCTGGAGATCTTGTCCAGGTGTTTGGTGGCGGATTCCACCTGACTGCAGTAACGGCCGTATAGCAGCAGCCTGACACACAGTTTCCATTTACATTCAAGGTCAGTGACATGTAGATTTAGTTTGTTTTTATTTCAGTTTTAGTTATTTTAGAAAATGAGAAAT